ACCGCCACAGCTTGTCGGCGGATGCGTCGATCCACGCGTACTGACGTCACTCTGGCTGCACTGCACGCATCCTTCTTCCCACATTTCCTTGTTCCAACCATGTTCGCCATAGCCGATGCACCGTGCCAGTACCTCCTACATACAAAGGCACGGCACGGCTGACACTACGTCACTAAAATCGTCCTTCTCTACAGACAGCATGGTTCCCACATGAAGCCACTTATCGCTGTTATTCCCTTAAGACGAGAGAAAATGAAACGTAGTCCACCGCTTGCAGAAGGCTTATATCATTCGGTTTTAAATAAATAAATATGTATATCCGATTTTCCCTTCATCGACTGCATTTCCTAATTTCAAATACGTATCTTAACTTTTCTTAAATAATTTTACACTTAAAATAATAGAACAGAAATTGATTTAACATACTTCAGATGGTGGTAATAAAATACATGTTTAAGATCTGGCTGTTGCTGGTTTGTTTTTTGAATATATATTTTACTAAATATCCTCTTCCTTAATAAAAAGGCAACAATAATGCATAATGACAAGTTAACAGTTGATTAAAACTAAAAATCCCTAATCCTAAATTTATTAATCATGTTTTATTTTTGCAATATCAGTTTTTAACAACATTTGCTATTTACACATATTTGTTTAGTAATTTTCCGGTTTTGATCTTGTTCACTTCACTGTAGGATTGAATTTCGTAACATATAATAAACCTGGAGTATGATTTGAATACTATTTTTGAGCAATATGAAAATACTATTTTTGAGCAATATGAAAAATACTATTTTTGAGCATATATTGGTATTTATTCAGTGTTAATTTTCAATATAGGCGCAAAAAATTTCCATACATTTAAGCTTTTTCAATTAGATTCCTATTTTTGAAGAATATGTAATTGCATCTTTCTCAATAACAAAAAGGAAAATTGCAAAAAATTCAACAAACTTTACACTTGTTTGGAATTCAAAATTCTCAAGTTTCATTCTTATCATTTAATGTCTGTAACATCCCTTTTGTTTAATATGTACATATATAATTTTCTTGTAACTAGTAAATTTTTGTTCCTAAAAATCATTTAATTGTAACTTATCTAAGAATTTTTTAGCAAATGATAAATATGAAGTTGTATAATTGATATGCACTTACTGGAATTTTTTTATCAGGATAATCAGCAGAAACTTTTAAAACATCTAAATAGATCAAATGCCCTGAATTTTTAGAATTGTAAGGAATAAGGAGTTTAGTGTTAAGGTAAGATTTAAAATTTTCAGAATAATTTCAGATCTTTATTAAGAAAGTACCACAACTAGGGTGCAAAATGCATTAAAAAAAATTATTTTTGCCTGAAATTTTTCTACCAGTGCAATTATAACTAGAAATAATAGGAAATGACACCATGTATTTTAGTGAGAAAAAGGGGAGTAAATGTTTATTTAGGCAACTTCATGCTACTTACTTTTTATTACAGTAAAAACCTTTGAGAAAAAATAACTTAGCACAAATGTATGAGGCCTTACAGCTGGGAAGAAATGAAAGTACTTTTTTTATTCTAGTTAATTTATTATAGAGTTATCAGATGCATTTTTCCCTGTATACGTACAACTATATTTCTAGAAATTTTATTTCTTTGACAGAATTAAACATAGAATAAAATGAAAATAATATATTAGTAAATATCTATAAAAATTAGTCATCTGGAATTGTATTTGACTACAAATTGTACATACTTCCTTCTTACAGTTTAAAATTAATGTAACAAACACTTCTGTTTCAATTAAAATAAGATTAGAAAATTTCAAGATATTGATTTTAAAATATAATCGAAAGTAATATTAATTGACAAAGTATTTTATCTTCAAAAAGGAATATTTCTTTAGTTTATGATGAAAAAACTTAGTATATTATATAACAGACCTTAGAGCTTTAGCACTTTTCTATGATAATTGCAAATGTTTCCCTTTTTTTTGTGTGTGTGTATGCGTGCATGCATTTTGGAATAGGTGGCAAAAACTTCACAGCACAAATAGAAAAAGCACATTTTTATTCAACATATTATACACATTCTGCAGAAAATATTCATTTAAAAAATGAATTACAAGTCTGAAAATATTAAGAAATATAGACTAGTTTCACTCTCTTATTTTGTACCTTAAACACATAACATATTTCATTTCTTCTACATACATAAACTATTTTTTTAATGTTTTCAATTTCCGTTGCTTAGTTAAATTATTGCTTAAAAGATTATCATTTAACTTTTTGCAGTAATTATTTAGAAAAATATTTGTTATGATTGTATGATATTTTTCAAAATAATCTGAGGGTTATGAAGACAAAGTGGAGAGACGACTTTCGTGACGTCAGAGCGTTCAAGCAACCCTAGAGCCTTGGCTTTGTATGTAGGAGGTACTGACCGTGCTCGCATCCATGTGGGTATCAGCTGCGATTTGACGTAACCCGCCCTTCTCATTCAGATTATTATACCCTACGTAAAATCGTCTATCTGCTGGAAGTGCCTTCGTTGACGGCGGTCTGGCATTATCTACTATTACACATATCCTCCGGGACAAAAACCAACTTTCTTCGATAATTCGTCTGGCAGAAATAGCGACACGAGTATTGCCCATTCTGCACATTCCTTCCCTTATATCTTACTTCACGTGCGTCGGAAAGCTGCGCATTTCACATCATTCGCATAACTCAGTGACGTGCGTCTATTCTAAAATTTGCATAAATTTCTGACAACTCCTTCTTGATGTTACATTTTCAATGTCGAGCAGTGTATTTATATCCATTTAATTGTGCTTTTTTATGTATTTTTTATCAGGAAAATATTTTTATTTATATATTATAAATATTAATTAAATCTCGCTTTTTAGATAAACTTGTTCTTCAGTAACGGATTTATTTGTAGGACCATCAATTATAAAAAAACATATTTCTATTGATTTATAACCCCTACCATTTACAAATAAAGTGGCTATGATGTTAAAATCCATTTTAAATTTTAAATCTTCCGTAAAATAATCACTTTTAACTTTTTTAAATATTGCATTGAAACGCTCATCTAATTTATTTTCAGATTCAATATATATAACCATATGTACGTATTTTTTATTAAACAGCATCAGTATCATTAACACGATTAGCCACATTTGTTATAATTTTATTATTTGCATTATATTTATCATTTGATAATAATGTTATTGCATTATTTTCTAAATATCTTTTATTAACTATATTTTTACCATTTATTGGATCTTTAATGTTACCGATTATTTTATACTTTGCATCAAAAACATGACCGTCTTTTGAATGCAAATAATTTTCCATTTTTTTCCCTAATACTTCGATCCAATGATTGTATTTTTTCGGCTGTTTCATTAACAAAATTTAAAAAAAAAATGCCATCAATATTATATTTATTTAAATCAACAATTTCCCTTAAATTTGCCAACGTGCCCAAAACGTACATTTTTGTACTCACATCCTGATCATCTATAGGTTTTTTAAAATTTTATTATCCATATAATTTCCATCATCACTTAATTTAAAGCCTTCTCCAAGCGGACCAGCTTTTCTTTTATCATCAAAAGGTGGATAAATAGCGATCAATTATTAGAATCGAAAACACTATTTGTCTTCTATACTATCAATTAATATAATTTTTTGCTCTTTCATATATAATTGGGTTTTCTTTTTTTCTTCAACAATAAAACAAAATATATAGTTTTTAGTAGTTACGTATTTTAATTTATAATGGAAATTTAATGTTAAGTTTCCTACAGTTGTATAATTTTCATGATGGGATAGATCAAAAGCGATAGTAGGATATAATTTACCATAGGATAAATAATCTATCATATATCCTGTTTCTTTGCTTCTATAATTCGTAATTTCTAGAAAAGCTTCATACGGTTTATTCCATTCTTTATTAGAAAAATCCATGTTATATTTTTCAGATGGTATGACTTTTGAATTTATCGTAACTCAACACTCGGTCATATCTAAATGATCAAATACCATATTATTTTTCTTATAATTTTCATTCCTGTCTACATATTGGGGAACAACATATAATGTTAAAACTTCATTCGATGTAGTATGTATAAGATATGATCTAAATTGTGCATTTTCAATTACATTCGATTTATGAATGGCATATTGATTTCAATGAATATCTGTAGGTTGATCGGTTAACAATAATTGTTTGTATAATATTTCTGCTTTGTTTTTAAATTTAATATGAGTTAAAATCAGAGACAAATCTTCAATTTCTATTTTACGAGGGGACCGAGGGGACGACAAATGAAAACCATAATTATTTTTTTAAATATTATTTATTGGTCACACAGGGTACAGAAGTAAATCACTTTTCAACATAGCCCCTCCTCGTTCAATGCAAGTCCGCCAGCGCTTCGGAAGAGCCTGAATACCTGCAGAAAAAAAGTCTTTTGGGCGACGGCGCAACCACTCGTGCACCGCGTTGCGTACCTCTTCATCGGAGTGGAACTTCCCGCCTCCCATTGCCTATTTGAGCGGACCAAACAGATGGAAATCGTTCGATGCGAGGTCTGGAGAGTAAGGGGGGATGTGGGAGGCATTCAAATTTCAGTCTGTAATGGTCGCAACCGTTGCGCGCGCCGTATGGAGCCGTGCATTGTCGTGTTGCAGTAGCACACTGGCTGACAGCAATCCACGTCGTTTCGTTTTGATTGGCAGGCCGGAGATGATTTTTTAGGAGGCCCGAGTACGTAGCACTCGTCACAGAGGTTCCTCGTGGCATGTAGTGTTCCAAGATGATGCCCTTTTCGTCCCAAAAGAGGGTCAGCATAACCTTCCCTGCAGACGGCTGTGTCCGAAACTTTTTGGGTTTCGGTGATGAGGAGTGGCGCCACTCCTTGCTCGCTCTCTTTGTTTCAGGCTGATGGTAATTCACCCATGTTTCGTCACCAGGGACGATTCGTGACAGGAAGGCATTGCCGTCACGTTCAGCACGCCACAAAAGGTCTTTCGCACGCATCAACACGTCGCTGTTTCAGTTCAGGCGTCAGTTGTCGGGGCACCCATCTTGCAGACACCTTATGAAACTGGAGAACATCATGCACAATATGATGTGCCGATCCATGACTCATGTGTACACATGCTGCAATTTCGTCTATTGTCACACGGCGGTTTTCCAAAACGATGGCTTCAACGGCTGAAATGGTCTCTGGAGTCACTACGCGCCGAGCCTTGCCGGGGCGTGGAGCATCGGCCACGGACGTAACACCATTTGCAAATTTCCGGCACCATTCATAGATTTGTGGCCATGACAAACATGCATCTCCATACTGAACCTTCATTCACCTAAAAATGTCACTCGGTTTCCCACCTTCACTTCGCAAAAACCGAATCACAGAACGCTGCTCCTCGCTGGTGCATGTGGCTAGTGGGGCTGCCATTTTGGAACTGTTGTTGCGCCGGTGTTTGTGCATCTGCCGGCTGCTGCCACTTAGGAGACATCTGGCATACTATCGCAAACAGGCATGCCAACTTACAGCTCACTGGCGCCATATGCGGATTTTTATTTCTACTTTTATGGTTTTCAGTTGACTCCCCTACGTATAATCAGGATTAGCAACATCCGTATTATATGCGCATTATTTTATTTCTCTATCAAATTCTATTTTTATTAGGAAACCTGTGTTTGCTTTCCTGAAATATTTTAGAAAATCAAAAATTTGATCTAGTGGTAACCACATTGTAACGGACTGACTATCTTTTGTCATTTTCCATCTTTTATCAAATCCTTTGCTATAATTTTCATGTTTTTCAACTTTTAATATATTACTTATTTCAGTGATAGCCGTTTGGGCTGTTACAGATCCATCGTCTTTAACGATATATTTTACTGGATTACGATGATCACTCGTATTTAAAAAAAAAAAAAAAAAAAAAAAAAAAAAAAAAAAAAAAACTTATATCAGTGGGTTGTGTTGTTGTATAATCAGGTGTATATTCACCAAGTCTTATAACTTGTTGTATAATAGAAAAATAATCACTAGTATGTTCAATAGCTCTACCACCTATTGTCAGTTTTTTACCAGTAAATAAACCTACTCCACAATTTGCTGTAATATTATCATTACCTACAGAATGACCGTTATTTTTTAGAATTTTAAATTTTATTTTAATATATTCTGAATATACTCTCAAAGTAATATTATTGCCACTTTATTTTAGATAAAAAATTCATATTTACTAACTCTATTATATTCTACATTTGCTTTTTCTAATACCGACAATTCTTTACTCTCTATATTATCATCGTAATGATAAAAGTTTTTTGATCATCGTAATGATCAGTCATGATAATTTTCCATTTATTAAGAATAAAACTTCGGTAATTTTTTAAATCCTGATCCTTTTGTTTTAGATTATATTTTATCCAATTTCGTGCGATTTGAATTAGTATTACTATTATTATCAGTTAATGTACATTTTTTTTACTTCTTCTATATAATCGATATTCATTCATTTATTTAGAGATAAAAGATCTTGTTTATTTACCCAACTGTTAAATTCAGACAACTGTTAAATTCAGTGTACCTAACTGTTAAATTCAGAAAAAATTCGGAGATTCAACCTTCATAGAAGTAATGGTTAATAATGAACCAAGGGAATTTTATCTCACTAAAGCACATGCTCAACTTTCTCATGAGGCTATTTCTCAAATTAACAATTAACTCAAATTAACAACTATGTATTTAATTTTGAAGGTGTAACTAACGGCAGGTATATCTTTAATCTTAAACCATTAGAATAGATATTAAATTATGACGCCCCTGGGAGGAGGGTCATATTTTTAAAATTTTAGGAAAGAAAAGGGGGTTCAAGACCTCTCTTTTATTTTTATAAAATTTGAGTATTTTTTAAAAATTTATGAAAAAAAGGGGGTACAAAACATCCCTTCCTTTCAGGGTGTGAAAAAAATATATATAAGACCGTTCCTGTAAACCGTTTACTGTATTTAAAATATTAAATACAGATTTCAGTCTGATCCGATCCGACAGCAGTAAACATATCAATCAACCCTTCTACTGATAAGCAGATGCTCAACTTTCATACATTAAGTACTTGCTACGTCTTTTATTTTTACATATTGCTTGCTGTTCTAAGTTCCTATCACTCTTTCGCACCCTGATGTGAATTATTATGTCTGCATGATTAAGAACAGCTCAAACTTTCGATCTGGGCTAGGGCCTTCGGCCCAGGCATCTGGGTGTTCTGACACCGCTCCACATGAGGCTACTAATAAGTACGCTAAAGGAGGGATTTCTCCTTGATACGTAGGTCCAGTCCATGTCTTTACTGCCGGTGTGCAGCTAGTATATGCCAATTTACCGGCTTCTGATGAGTGGTGGCACCTGACAGTTGATGGTCCTGAAGAGTGGCGGTGGAACTGAAGGTCAGGAAAAGGGGGTGACCATGCGTCACAGAGTACAAACCAGATAATTGATATTGGAGAGCGTGGTGATGATGAAAAATTAACTTCACTCTTGATAAGTAAGGTGATAAAGTACAAAAATAGGATACATAATAAATACATAAAAACATAAGGATACATAAAAATATTTCTTGCATAAGTAGTTGAGAGTCTGGGATAAATATGAAATTGGTAAAGTAAATATCAATACAATAAGAAAGTTCCTAAAAATTAATGAGAAATTTGATTATGATACATATGTACAAGTATGATGCAAAATAATAAGAGTATTTTCTAGAGTACAGTACCTGAAACGGAAATACAAAATAAGTTATGTTACATATAAACAAAATGCTAGATTATATAATGCAAGTAAAATCTGGGTTAGATGCAGAAAACAAGATACGTAAAATAAAATATATTACAACTATGTACAGGAAATGTTGCGTGGGAAAATTTAGGTCACAGAGGTGGGCCGCCCAGGGTCTCAGGTCTCTGTCTTCTGCAAGTACAGTGTAGTTAAAAACTTGAAAATTTTTCATGAAAGGACATGTAATGGCTTTACGGAAGAAGTTGTCATTGATTTTCATCAAGTGATCTTTGATGTAATCTATTTTTAAGTCTTGGTGTAAGGTGGCATTCGAAACGTAGTAGTGTGCATTCGTGGTAAGTCTAAGGAATTTATTCTGTACAATTTGAATTTTCTTAATTTCTCTGCTCTTCACAGTAGCCCAGGCAGGTGAAGCGTAGCAAAGGGTAGGCCTGATAATAGCTGTGTAAATATGCTTTTTTCTTTTCAGATCAAGACAGGAGAGTTTTCCCAGGAGCGGCATCATAAGACTTTTCATGTTCCCGTAAGCTTTTCCTTTGATAATATTAATGTGATCCGTCCAAGTAAGCCTATTGTTGATTGTAATGCCTAGGTCAGGAAAGCGTTCCTGACCTAGGCTTTATTAACTTTATTAACCATTTTGCTTTATTAACTATTGGAATTTCCTTGTCAAAGAGCTTTAAACTATTGTTGATGACTTGACGGGTGCGTCTATTTCGGCTGATAATAAGGAGCTGCGACTTTTCAGCATTAATAGCGATTCTCCATTTTTTTTTACACCAATGTTCGATGCTAGGCACGATGCTTTGGAGTTTCTGTATGGCAGCGTTGAGGCTAAGGGATTTTACGGCAAGAGCCGTATCGTCCACATAGCATCCAAGGAATCTGTTAATTTCGTTATCCGGATGAGGGAAATCGGAAACATAAAATAAATAAAGAATCGGGCCTAATATTGAACCTTGGGCCACGGAAGCACGAATATATTTGAAGTCTGAGTTTTCCTGGCCGAAAGAAACATAAAATTTTCTATTCTTGATGAAAGAGTAGAGGAGCTTGGTCATTTCTGGAGAGAAGTTGTTACTGATTAATTTGAAAATAAGGCCAGACGCGGTCAAAAGCCTTTGCCACGTCGAGCATGAGTAAGGCGACTTTCTGGTGATTATGAAGAGCACTTCCAATAAATTCAGTTAGGCGAACAAGCTGTTTAGTGGTAGAGAGTGTTTTTCGAAATCCAAATTGCTCTGGACGAAATCTGCTGATATACTGTTGCATTCTGTTAAGTATTAGTCTTTCATAGATCTTGCGAAGTCCGGGCAGTAGGCTAATTTGGGTCTATAACCCTCGGGAGTAGTGGAATCTTTACCGGGCTTAGGAATGAGGATGATCTTGGCAATTTGGCACAGCTTTAGTATTAGTCCTTTTTGGCGAGAAATTTTGTTTGGCGATATTTTGGAGCGATAAATGTAAAATTATGATAACCTTGGTAACCCTAAATACTGAGCTTCAAACATGCCGCCATTTCTGTCCACGTAACTTTAACGAATTTGATAGGTATCAGAGCTTTGATGGCAGGAGGGATAAATTGTGTGTTTTTCTTAAAGTTACTTTTGTGTTAGGAAAACACAACATTTAAAATATTTTTTAAAAAGCCAAATTTTTTATAGCTAAAACTGGTGCTTTTAATATTACATCACATGAGTCTTGACATTTTTTCATATGTCAACTCTGCATATTATTATAAATGCCACCCCCCTCCCCAAGGAAAAAAAAAACACATTTTCAGTAGCATGAGGTAAACTCTTGGTGTTTTCCTTTGCTAAGGAGATCAAAATTACCATGGTCTAAAATACTTGTATACCTCATATTAGAACTATAGGGATGTGTAATTGCATGAATTCATGGTTCAAATCAGGTTCCAAAATCAGGTTTCATTATTGCTTTTATAACATTTTTATAATTTGTCAGACTATAAAAAATATAATATTGCTTAGATTATGGAATGAATATATTGCTTATAATTTACAGTTCTCAAATTTTGTAAATTTCACAACCTAATAGCTGTATATGAATAACCTGCACTGAGTATTATTACTTTTATTAATAGTATGTTGACATGACAGTCGACTTTTTATTTTAAATTTTATGCAAATTTTCTACATTACTTAAACATTTTATCTAACAGAAATCTGAATTTTTTGTAATAAAAAACTCTATAATAAAAGTAAGAGTACAATTTATATATAAAAATTTGACTACATGGCAAGCACTTGACTTGATACTGATTTCAATGTCTTTAAATGTTATTATCATAAAGTTTAGATATATTCTTATTAAATTAAGATATACTTTTATTCTATTATAAAGTTTAGATGTACAGAACAGAAGGCACACTTTGTACTTACCACTCGGTCAACCACTTGTGGCAAGATAACTTATGATAACAATTAAATTCAAATGTAAAATTTAAATTCAAATAAATTTGTAGCCCAAAGGCTGCACAAATCAATTTAATGCAAAGTTGGTTAAAAACTTAACTGGCATGGAAT